CACCAACTTACACCATTCACAAAAATAAACTCAAAATGGATACAGGACTTAAACATCAGGCGGGAAACCATAAAAATACTAGAAACATCCACAGGCAGCAAAATCTCCGACGTATGCCAAAAGAACTTCTTCACTGATACTGCCCCTAGGGCAATGGAAGCTAAAGAGAAAATAAACAAATGGGACTACATCAAAATAAAAAGCTTTCTTACAGCAAAAGAAACCATCAACAAAACAACAAGAAAGCCCACAGTATGGGAGAACATATTTGCAAATAATACCACTGATAAAGGTTTAATCTCCAACATCTACAGACAGCTTATACAGATAAATAAAAGGAAGATGATTGATCCAATTAAAAAATGGGCAATGGACCTAAATAGAATATTTTCAAAAGAAGACAGAAGGAAGGCCAAAAGGCACATGAAAACATGCTCAAAGTCACTAATTGTCCGAGAGATGCAAATCAAAACAACAATGCGGTACCATCTCACACCTGTCAGAATGGCCAACATCAACAAATCAACAAACAACAAGTGTTGGCGAGGTTGTGGAGAAAAAGGAACCCTCGTGCACTGCTGGTGGGAATGCAGACTGGTGCAACCACTGTGGAGAACAGTGTGGAGTTTCCTCAAAAAACTGAAAATGGAACTCCCATTTGACCCAGTAATCCCACTTCTAGGAATATACCCCAAGAAACTAGAAACACCAATCAGAAAGGATATTTGCACCCCTATGTTCATAGCAGCACAATCTACAATAGCCAGAATTTGGAAACAGCCTAGGTGTCCGTCAGCAGATGATTGGATCCAAAAACTTTGGTACATCTACACAATGGAATACTATGCTGCCATAAAAAAGAAGGAATTCTCATCATTTGCAGCAACCTGGATGGAATTGGAGAACATCATGCTGAGTGAAATAAGCCAATCAATGAAAGAGAAATACCACATGACCTCACTCATTGGTGGACAATAAAGCTCTTTATGAACTGATGAACCAAGAGACAGAGATAGAGAAAGTAAAGCAACAGGCAGACTGTCAAATTACAGTGGGGAGGGGAGGAAGATCTGGGGGAAATAATTGATCAAACGAAGGACTTGTATACATGCATATAAGTACAACCAATGTTCATAAAGCTCTGGGGAGGGAGGGGAAGGGTGGGACGGAGGGAGGGGGGTAAAAAAAAAATCAATAAAATATGTAAAAAAAAAAAAATCAATAAAATATGAAAAAAAAAAAAAAAAAGAGGATTTTGAAAAATAAAGGAAAATGCTAATTCAAAAAGGTGTCTGCAATACTAACTCTAAATATAATATTTTTCAAAGTTTATAGGCAAGAAGAAAGTCTTTATATAGCCATAAAGAACACACAAAAATGCTTAAGGTTTCTAAATTAATTTAAGATTCAAACAATAAAATAATATAAAATTTATGTTAGAATCAATAAGATATTTCCAATTTTCCTGGTCTGATGTTTCACATTTTCAATTCATTTCTAGTTTGGTCTTAAAGCTCAATTGAGTAGAGTACTATTGAATTGTAGTTGACTGACAATACAGAGGCCATAATAAATATTACATGATAAATATTCTCCTAAAATTTTTTAAAGGACATTAGCTCTTTTTTTATTTTTTTAAATTATCTGTGTACATATTTTAACATTGCCCCCTCTTCCCATACATACCCTCCCTCCCCAGAGTTTTGTGTCCATTGGTTTTACTTATATGCATGTATACAAGTCCTTCGGTTGATCTCTTATCTCCCCCAGATCTCCCTACTCTTCCCGCTGTAATTTTACAGACTGCTTGTTGCTTTACTGACTTTATATCTGACTTTTGATTTGTCAGTTTATAATGTTCTTTAATATCCATAAATGAGTGAGGCCATGTGGTATTTCTCTTTCATTGTAGCTCTTCTTTTATAGAAAATAATAATCCCTTATCCTTTCTAAGAAATTGCCTCTATCAATATATTCTGGATATCTTGCTTCTATTTTACTATTATTTTAAATTCTCAGTTTCCTCTTTAGGTCTGTTTCAATAGAAATTCTTATCATTATTTAATACTTTTAAATGTTTTCTCACTATTTGTTCTTCCTCTTGTTCCTTCCTATTTTTGGGTGTTTTTTTTTTTTTTTAAATCCTTTATAATGTTTTTCCAGTTGTATAGTTAAAAAAGACTTAGATATACAATATAAGCTACAAAGGTGATTTCTGATAAACCATGAAAATGAAACTTATTCTAGGAGCAAAGTAATTAACAGATAAAAGGAAAAAAGAAAAAAACACCTAGATTAGTATGGTTTGATAAGAAATACATTGCTTTCTGGCATTGAAAAATAGAAAGTAAATATAGATTTCTAAAAAATCAGACAGATTTCTGACTTAAAATTGAATAGATTAAAGTCATTTTTGTATCTTTAGTTCTAAAAACAAGAAAGAATTAACATACATCCTTTTAGATATGTTTGCCCTTGGACAATGTTAAAACCTAAAGGTTAACAGAACACAAAAGTGACCTAAAATTTTAATTTGCTAAAGTTACATTCTCACTAATACAGATTTAATGTGGTTAGTTTAATGTAAAAAAAGAAAAAATCAATACTTCAGGGAAATTCTTTTGGACATACTCATACTATAAAGGATCTTTTCATGCACTCATTCGGCAAATGATAAGTCTCAGGATTGCCTGCTGGTGGTGAGTACAATGATAAAAGGGGATACAAAGTGTCAAGTCTTAGGAAGAAGAGAAAAAAGAAACCTTCACCATCAAAAGTCACATCAAGCATTTTAAAAATTCATTTCTGAAATGTTAATGGCAAAGCCTAGCATCTTAATATTGATGTCCAAAAGGAGGATCCGCTTATCCTACGTCTAACAGAACACCCATCTTTGAAGCTTGTCCTCTTTCACTTTCCTTCATTCCAGGCTGAAAAAGATCCTTAAGCTTTACTGCCTGAGTTTACTGGCTGTCAGAATTTGAAATGAAATCTGTGTTCACAACAAAGTCTGAAACCAGAATACACAGTACCTCTATCCCAATAATAGTGATGCAATTTCGTTACTGCCTTTCCAAAAAAAAGATAATCAGAACTTTTTGTCTCGTCCTCAGCTGAAGCTGCATTAACAGGCAAGATAAACCCATCAGCCTATCTCTCAATTTTCATGAATGTATGCATTCATTCATTCATACATACATAGATACCTTCTAATTCTAACCACTTATTCTCAGTCATGGGGATGACTGTATGGTAAGATTCATTTGTTTTGTCTAGACAATATTCTGAGTATTTTCAATATAATTTAATGGAAAGGAAGTTTCTGCCTCCTCTCACCTCCACTCTGTCTCTGTCTTGGTGTAATTTTAACTCATCCAATATCTTTCTTAAAAATGATCCCCAAACATGTTGAGGACAGAATGTTATATAAGTTGCAGCTTTTACAGAGTTCTTGTAAGAGAACACTTACAATTATCTCTGATTCACTGGAAAGTATGGGCGCTCTTATTCGATGTGCTTGTAGACTCCAGTGAATTCTGCAGGCATGTAGGAACAACAAATTGCAATAAATTTACATGTGGGACTGCAGTGTATAAAATTGGGCATACTACTGGCTTCTTGCTCCTGTGCTGCTTTGACCTTCTAGGAAAATTAGTACTGGACTTCATGTGTCCAAATCTTATCTAGAGAAAAGAAAAAATTTAGATTTTAAGCTATTTATTTCAATTCAATAAGCTATCCTCACTGGAAAATGCCAAATGTGATTTCTCCCATCAGGCATACGAAAGCAATCTCCACCCTGTTTCCATTTTGCATGCAACTCCAAACCTAGAAAATAGGCTTTCTGATGGGAGAAATCAATGACTTTGAATGATGCACAATTTCCACAGATAAGTCACCTTTCTACAATGAAACATGGAAGCTCCATAAAATAAGTTAATATTTTGCTTTCAGAGCAGCAATATTATTTGCCTTATTATAAAGAGAATTCATTAGAGACAATGAGTTTTCAAATGAAAGGATTAAAAGAATCCCATTAAAACCAAAACAAAGGCATTTTATGTTCTCACATCTTTATTAAAGTAGTTATTTATAATCCTGGCTCAATAATAACTTGTGTACTTTTATATCACAAATTGGCCTTTAAATAACACATAACACACATAAGGCAGATTTACCTTCTAGATGGCCTCAGTTTCTAAACACCACTACACTGATTTATACAAATAACAAAAATCACACAGAGGAGCATCTGTCGATCTCTTTCTTGGTACTTATCTTTAGATTTCAAAACTACATAGTAAATAGCATTCCCCATAAAATTTAATTTTTGAGGTAAGAAACAAATACTATTTCTATCTTAAAATTGCCTTTATCTGATCTGACTAGATGCCATTATTATAACATAACCTTTAAGTTTGTGGGAAAAACCAATACTTCATATTTACTCCTCAAAGAAAGCTGAAAAACAAGAAGCTATTATAAAATCTTATTGCTAAATATTACCTAAATTCACAATTCTGCTTATATATAATAATTGTATGCATATAACAACAGCTAACAATTATTACTTCATTTATCAATATACATCCAATATGGTTGCATTAATATCAGGAGGCCAGGCAGCACAGAAGATGCATTCTCTTGTTCTTCTGGTCATTAGTATGAACTGAAGCTTTTGAAACTATTTGTAATCCCAATGTGGGGGCTACATCACAAAACCTTCAGGAAACTGGTGGCCTCGGGTGGAAGAATTCAAAAACTGGAAGGCTTAGAAGGTCTCAGCAGAATAGTAGTGATACAGTCAGAATCACTTGTTATTTATTAGAAACCAAGACTCATAAATCATTTCTCTCTCAGAAAAATATCTTTAAAACTTGTACATTTCTAAATGTTCTTTTTTAAAGAACATATAAAATTAAGATATTTGTGAAAATAAACCAGTTTCGTGTAATCTTGTTTCTCTTTATTTTCTCCCTTTGAAGAGTTCTTCTTATCTTTTAAAGCAAGACAAACTCTTCTGTGCTAAATCTTTTTAATATTTTATTTTCATCCTCTGGGAAACTGTCTTCCTTATTGGTTGTAGTCGATGTAAAATCATAGTCTCTGGAATGACCATTGACAAAAGTAAATAAGGGATACTTCTCTTTAGAAGAAATTTGCAGCATCTGTAACAGAAAGTACAGAAGAATTCTTTATCCAACAGTGCACAGTAGCACCCCATGACAAAATCTGATGTTTTAGCCCCAAATATCTCAGTAGCTTTTCTCATCTATGTTTATTCAGTGCCAATGCTTTAATGTTCTGGCTAAAAGACAAAATTGTATAGTTTATTTATAGCTAAATAACTGCTTCTCCATTAGGGCCTTCAAAAATTAAGTACCATCTCTCTACCCCCATCAAAGTCAGTCTTCTGGTCACATTAGTTGGAAGGCTCACTCTATGGTTAATATTTATCTCCTTTTAGTAGTAGCAGACAATGACACAAAATGGTTTCATGGACTATAGTCAATATTGTGAAAGATTTCTTGATACCAGAAAAAGAAGCATTAACCTGAGTCAGAAGGTTCATTCTAATAATCCCAATTCTACAACTTACCTTGATGTGATCTTCAACAAGTAACTCTACCTGAGTATCATCTATAAAACAGGTATCCAAGCTCCTTATCTCAGAACATTGTTAAGATGACCAAAATTAAAAATAAAAACTTATTTTAAAAAATTAAGTTTGGTCCTTCTAAAGATCACTATATTTGAAAAATTTCTGCAAAAATCTAGTCAACATAAAAAACAGTAATCTTCTACATAGTAGTAATCCACACTTTACATATTACCTTCTAGAGTTACATTAGATAATTCTGAAGTGAAAAAAGCAATACCTAGAATTTTGTGAGGACAACAGCAACCTTTATAAGCTCTATCCATTTGGTATTTGTTGACAAGCCAGCAACACATTCTAAACAATTTTAAATCTTTCTGTCAAACAAGTTTTATTTAAAAATATATAAAAATTTTTCATTTAAAAAATAAATTTAAAATTTTGAATGAAGGATGTTTTAATAGAAACCAATTTTTCTATAGGTAACCTGGAACTATAAGAAAGATTTCAAAATGTTTATGTGAGTCCCAGAGAATGCTGGAAATAATACCAAGAGTACTTATACAGGGTTGTGCAAAAGTAGGCTTATAGTTGCTCATAGGGAAAATAATACAATAATTAATAAATAATAATGCAAGAGTAAACTCTGTTTCATGTATTCACAACTGTAAGCCTGCTTTTGCCTCACTTGGTATATCATTCATCATGATCAATTTAATATAATTTGTTCTTAAAGGATAATTTCTGGGATAAAAACCAAATTCTATCAAACGCCAATATTAAATCAAAGGTTAGTCAAATTCTTATATGTTACATTTACAGATTCTCTCGAAACATGGCTAAAATAAATATATATCCCTGGCATACAGAACAATATTAAATTAAAAGTATTTCTATCAGAGAGTTCATATGAAATACATTTTAATAATATAGCCAAAGATATAGGAAACAGCTTTATTATCTAAATGGCAAACCATAGATTTCTTTTCAGAAGGTCAAATATTTTATCACATTTTCCCTATGTACTAACTTGACAGGTTTCAGAATTTACAGAGAAGAAAGCTAGAGGACAGAAGTTAAGCAATTTCTTCCATCATAATGCCCGTAGTTGTAAGAACAGAAATAGACCAGGAGATGACCACTTGTCCTCAGGCTGAAACCTTTCCACTGGTCTCTGCCAGCACACATGTAAAACTATACCCAGGGCAGAGCAGTCTATATCTATGTGGTCTGTCTTCATCACAGCGGAGCTACACTTAATGTAGGGTTTAATTCTAAAGTCAGCCAATAATATGAAAATCAAATAGTCAAAATTAACTTCCATAAGCCTTCAAATTGTTTAAAAAGGTTGTTATGCATAATTTTGTATATACAACCCTATTCAGTACCATGTATAAATGAATAGTACAGTATATAGTAATGTACAGCATATAATAAAGAGTATACATGGAAAAATAATGTTTTATTATGAGTTTGTGCAGTTGAGTTGAAGTTAAATGTGTACGTGATGTTAGCTCCACACTATCTCCTTAATACTCAATCTTAAATCGCTCTAACCCAACTTTTATCCCTCGCTGTTCTGAAAATTCTCTTCTAGTCCTCAAATAAAAAGGCCTTTTATTAGTTCCTATTCTCTTTATATTTCTATAGCAATCAATACTTCCGGGCATTTCTTTCTTAAAATATTTACTCCCCTTGGTTCTGTAATATTTTGCTTTCTTGTTTCTCCTATTTTCTGGACTATTTCTTATCTCCTTCAGTGATTTCACTTTCTGAATGTAAATATTAATCAACGACTGATCCTTTATCTTCTCTATATATTCTATCTTCTCTCTTAAAAATATTATCTTCTCTGAGTTTCAACCACTTCACTATTACCCTTTATTATCACCCATGTTTTACAGACGAGGGAACAAAAATATTGAGGGTTTAAGTGACCTGTTTTGTTCACACTGTTAGTAAATGACAGAGCCAGAATTTAAGCTTAAGCGGTTTGGTTCTATTATAACCACTGTGTGGACGAAAAGGGGTCACATGCTAACCTGACTAGCTCAAGAAAGGCCTGCATGGCAGCCTTGCAACCACAAAGGATGGACTGAAATTAAAACTTTTTTAAATATAAGCAGCTTATGGTGGGTAGTCATGTCCTATCCTAGGCCGATATCTTCCCTGACAAAGGCCAATCTTTATCTTAACATGTCTATTGTGTTTTTGCAGCTACGATAATGTATTTGGAATGTATTTGGAATGTCAAAGTAATTTTCCTTTCTCCTGACTCTTCAAATCCCGTGAACATTAAATGTCTACCATAAACATCCCATAACACTCTACCCTAATGATTCTGTTCAAGATGTCTCTGTCCTCCAGTTACCTCCTCGAGTAAGGATTACAAACATGGACCGTGAATCCTGGACGGTCTCAGTAGAAACCTGACTGATACTTATAAGTTGTGTGATCCTGGACAAGTTACTTAACCAGACTGTCTCATTTTTCTTATTGTAAAATGTCAGTATTACAACATCTATTTGGCAGTGTTGTTGTGAGGATTTAATCAGTAATATTTGTAAAAATAATTAAAAGATTGCCTGGCATCATACATGTTGGCTATTATTATTGGCATTATTATCATACTACTATCATAGTAGTCTTCTGGCATTAAGTATACTCTAATTCAGTCATTTTATTGTCCATTTCATATCTTCCCAACTAAATTAGAAGCCCCTGAAGATTTTTAAAGCAATCAGAGTTCCTATCATTAAATCCCAAAGTTAAAAAAAGATCCATATAAAAAATATATATATCTCCCCGATTTCACTTGGAAAATACAGATTAGAAGAAGGGGAAATATAATCATGAACATAATAAACGTAAAACACTAAAGTGTTTTGAAAAATACATTTTAACAAAATAGTGATGGGTATGGGAAATTGTGCACCATTGGAGAAAATGGGACTGTTTGCCCTAGAAGAGGAAGCAAACTTATTCTTTTACTCAATGAGACAAAGGAGTAAATGCTATGTGCAGACTGATTCCAACTGAATGTGGGGAAGCTTCTTTAATGATAAGGTTCTGTCCAAAATGAAAAAGATTCCCAAGGAAAATAATTCGTTCACCATTACCTGAAATAAAGATTAGATAGCCAACTGTCTAAACCATGGATTGATGTATAAATGGGAGACTGTACAGAATAGTGCTTATAAGCACATGTTCTCAAGTTAAATGTCTGAGGTGTGAATCTCAGCACTACCATTTATTAGTTGTGACCTTTCTGAAAGTTACTGAACCTTTGTAAATGTAAGATTACTCATCTGTAAAACAGAGATACCTACTTACCTCAGAAGGTTTGTGTAGATTAAATGAGAAAAATGTATATATGGTGCTTAATTAGCACAGTATATGACATATGGCAAAGATTCAACAAATGTTAGCTTTGGATTGAAGAATTCCAGACTGGGTGTCTGGAATTCAAGGGCTGTGTTATAAATTTTGTTATAGCTAGAGGACAACTGGCCATGGGCAAATTTTTTTCTTGAGTTGATATTCATTCTATAATCAAATGATTAGTTTCCTAATACTCACATTTTCATTTCTGGCCTTAAATGCCAGCATTAGTAGGTAGATAGTTTATCACAGGAGTGTTTTATTTGATAACTATTAGGCTGGGAACAAGTAAGGTAAGGAAGAAAAGGAGGTGTGAGATCAGACAAAAACAATCAACATCGGGCCCCTTACATTCAGCAGAGCAGAGAAGATACGATCTAAGTTCAGGGGCTGGGAGAGATGTGTGTTGGAAGAATATCTATGAAAGGTGAGCAAGTTCACCTTGCAGAACTTGGAGAGGAATAATATATAAAGGCACAAAAATAGGGTGAGACATAAAACTGAAAGGGAAAGTGATTGAAAGCCTGCATATAGACTCGATTCCCAGGTCCTTTCTTATAACAACTATCCCTCTTTAGCCCCCCACCGACCATCCCACACATAGGAAAATAAAGATTTATTCTTTGAAAAAAACAAATAAAGCTATAAACTCTAGTACACCAGGCACAGTGATGACAACAGAAGCTGAGGAATTTAGTGACAGTTTAAAATACTGAACTGTAGGGCCCTAGCATCCTTCACTTCCTTCTCCTGGAGCATTGTAGACAACATATATTCTACAAGCAGATGGCAGAACTTTTCTCTGGGGAAAAAAATAAAACAACTCTAGAAAAAAGATAACCATTTACCAACCTATGGGGGGAGGGGTCACCCAATAAAAAAGGCAGGTTTATCACCTAATTACCCTAGGATAAAGGTCATCAGCGAAAAAAACATGCTCAAACACACAGAACATCCACTCAGCTTTTTAGTCCCTTACTCAAATACAAACAGACACTGAAGATCACCAGTCATTTGGGGGAAAGCAGCCAGTGAAATATTGGAAGATTACAAAAAAAACAAAAAAACAAAAAATAAAATGTAACAAAACAAGTCTGTAATAAATCATATACAGCAAAAGAAGGACAAGAAAACTTCAAAATTACTCTAATTTCCTTGAGGAGAAAAGAAAACTACATTCATATAAAG